CATAACCGGTCGAGGTTACCATGGTGCTGCCTGACATGATAAGGGTATCTTTGTTTTCTGTCCGCGCGATGAAAAAAAAAACTACCTATGACTTCTGCTTGACCCGTTGCAAAGAACTGAAACGACTTAACATATACTCCATTTTTGAGGTCCGCGAGATCTTTCGTGCTCTTGCCAAGCACTGGGTGCTTATGCCTACGCCCGGCCCCGCTATCATTCTGGTGGACGCGCCGGCCCCGTCCCGACGCTGGAACGACTGGAACTCACGTATCCTGGGGTCGAACCAGGAGGTGACGCGCGTCTGGTGGTTGATGAAGTACACCTCGCCCTCCTCGGTCTCGGCCCGGTCCCAGCCGTCCGGCAGCGGGCCCAGCGCCTGGCCGCCCGCTGCCGCCGGCTCCACTGACAGCTGCTGCAGTTGCTGCTGAAGCTGCTGCTGCTGCTGCTGCTGGGGCGGCGGTGGGGGCGGCGGCTGCTGCTGCTGCGAGGGCGGCGGAGGCGGCGGCGGCGCTGGAGAGGCGAGACGACAGTTACTGCCACCGCAGGAGTCACGACACGACAGACCATCGACCGCTGCACTACTGCGTGCATCACTGTCTTGGCGATTACCGTAAAACAACTGCTGCGGGGACAATATTAAGAAAATAAACTAAATGCCTATGCCATTCGCAATCCAAGAAAGTCTGCATTGCATCCTGCAACAGCTACTGCTTATTTTAGTTCTTACAGCGTATGACTGCCTGGTTTTCAGCGCCCACGCGCGTGCGATCCCGTATGTTCAGCTCCTTAAAATTCCACGCAGCAGCACTAGCTCCACATGCTCCGCCCAATATCACTCACAATACAGTTTAGCAAATCAAATCAACGGTGAGCGCTGCCGGTCACTAGAGCTTGGGTTGACACCCTCATAGTTCAATATTAGTCATCATCACCGTTTCTTTACAGACCAACGGACGTGTCTGACGCGCACCATCTGCGCTTCACACAATCCGACCTGACAAGCGAAACATCACATACGATTTCCCTGTTTCTCCGCGCACCCAATGTCACCCCTGCTTATCGCCGATGCCAATCCGCGATTGGGTGCAGCAACACCTACCTTCTTGCGCGCCAGGGGCAGCGCCAGCGGGGCCGGCGGGAGCGGTCGGGGGCGCCCCAGGCGCGCTGGCAGGCTGCGAGCTGGCCGCTCCTGGCTGGCCTGCCAACGAGCCCTGGGAGGGCTTCTTCCGCGGGTCTTCCCAGGTGGTCGTCTGCGTCACGTGACTGAAACGGCGGGCAGGGGGTCAGACGCCGGACGGCACGGGGTGCTGTAGAGCGCGCAACATCACCGTCAGCGAGCAATGCGCTATAACACAGACCTGAAGACCACAGGCAACTCTTTGGATTTTGAAAACGCATGCAATGGATGGTAGCATAACCCTCACGGTTCAGGTGTTACATATCCAGGAATATGACGAGATGGTGCTGAATGTCGAGATAGTGTTAGCTGACGACACAGCACGTGACGTCATAAGCCGTGGCGCACTAACCTCTTTAATCAGCAGACCTCATGTCGCTACAGATCGCGACAATGCACATTTGAAATGTACTTGTGCCCACTTCTCATTGTCGAAAGCCATCGTAACACACGTTTGTTGACACACAACGCAAGCACAAGCCCACACATGCACAAGCCCGCACACGCCAGGTCGCCGCTGAAATGTAATGTGTCCTGACATTCAGCTCTGATGAGTCCCTAAAACAACGACAAAGCCCGATACAGCCTCTCAATCATTGCGGCGGCTCTCGCACAGGAGCCAGTGCTGCCACTCGGCGCCGCCTCCTCCCGACTAGCCCCCGCATGATCTCACCACCTCCCAGCGGTGACGCAACCATGTGGGTGGCGCTGAGCTCACCTGGCGCTCACCGACCCCCCCCCCCCCCCCCCTCCTCCCCCCGCACGAGCCGGGTAAGCCTGCCCTGTGCCGCGGCCTCAGACTGGCCAGCCCGAAATGGGCTGCCGCCGGTCTGTCGTCACCAATCCCGCTCGCCAGATCACCGCGCGGCTACTGTAACGTCGCCAGATCACCGCGCGGCTACTGTAACGTCGTCAGATCACCGCGCAGCTTCTGCGGCGTTGTCAGGTGTCACCGCGCGGCTATCCTGTCGTTCCGCTTGTCATCTGGGTGGATGCCGACGGGCATGTAATTGATAATGATGGCACACGTACGGGACAAAATAAGAGATAAGCCAAACGATGTCGTTTGATATCAACGTATTTGCGGAGCCACGCCTGTTTGGGACGCTTATGCTGCCACTAATTCTGGTTTCTTCATACTATATATATATATATATATATATATATATATATATATATATATATATATATATGTTCGTTTACTAGCCAGAGGACAACAGCTCACGCCATGACCTCGAAAAGCTCGCTCGCTACAATTACCAGCTGGTGCGAGGCGGCAGCGAAGGTCACCTCTTCCCTGAAGCCACGGAACCGCAAGATACC